CGGTTTGTGATCCATTCAACCACCAAAGAAAGAGAAGAAACCACGTTTCTTAGGCTCTTCTTCCACCATAACAGCCTTCATACTATCTTGCTCCACTAGTCTCCAAGCTGCCTGCTCAAACGCCAATCCGGCAAGCGTCGGTGGCTTGTTCAGAACAAGCGGAAAACCTCGATTCGTGCTTCGTATAACCTCGGAATCTTCAGGAATCACACCGAGCAATGACAAACCCAACATCTCCTGAACATCTAACACAGACATCATATCCTCTCCTTTGATCATATCAGTTCTTACTCGGTTCACAATCATCTTTATATCTCGGATTCCGTCGCATTCGAGCAAACCCGTGACTCTATCTGCATCTCTAAGCGCTGTTATGTCCGGAGTTGTAACCAAGACAGCTTCATTTGCCGGAGTAATGGCAGTTATGAATCCAGCATCGATTCCTGCAGGACAATCGATGATGATGAAATCTGGAGAACCTTCAGGTCTAGTTTTTAGAGCATCTACAAGCCATTCCAATGCTTTTCCACCAAATCCCATTGGAAGTTTTGATCTAGGTTTCGATATACATAGCAATTCGAAATTCGACCAACGCTTATCGCGTACCAGAGCCTGGTCGAGCCGGCAATCTCCGTTGAGAACCTCCACGACGGTGTAATTGACTCGATTCTCTAACCCTAGGAGGAGATCGAGGTTACGGAGACCAAGGTCCGCGTCAATGGCGACGACTGAGAAGCCGTAACGAGCGAGAGAGAGACCGACATTGGCGGTGGTAGTCGTCTTTCCAACACCACCTTTTCCGGAGGTGATAACAACGATACGCGGCGTTTCTCCGGCGAGCTCCGGTTTGCGATTAAACTGAAGAACGGATCGTATTGGACTCCGTCTGCTAGGGTTTTTGACGAATCGTGGTGACGCTACTAGGGGTTTTGAGAAGAGCGAAGATTGAAGAAGCGGAGATTGATGATTCGTGGAGAACAATCGCAGTGACGCCATTGACAGTGTTCTTCGGCTGTCTCCTCCACAGAGACGGAATGTTTTCTGGGCGGCGTCGTTGTGGCTTGAGAGGGTTTACGGTTTATCTAATATCTTCTCAGATTCCGGTTTATACCGGTTTAAGATGAAACCAAATAATTCGTTGGTTTTACCGGTTTATGATTCATCCGTATTACAAAATATAGATTCTACTGAGCTATAAGCCTATAACCAAATAATACCAACACACAAACCGAATTTGAGATACCGGTACACCATTTTGGTTTCCCGGTTTATGTATTGTATATGAACACTCTAAATAGCGTAATGACGTTTTTTATCTGCCTGCGTTTGTCATTAGTTGAGAGAACACTTGACTACTATTGATGATGCCTGAACTTCCATCTCCATTGTCTCTATAGGTGTTCGAGCCACTAGACGGACCTTGCCGAGCTGCTCCCGAGCCCGTAGCATCTCCATTAGCTTCTTCAGGCTTGTCCAATGGTCTAGATTCTTGAAGCTGAAGCACATGTTCCAAATTCCACAGAACATCGCCCATTGTTGGTCTATCCACGCCGTAATCCGCACAGCATTTTTCTGCGGTTTCTGCGAATTTCTTTAACGAGCACGGTTTGATCTGATCTGCGATATTCGGATCGATAATTTGATCAAGCATCCCTTTCTTTTGCCACTCGATTGCCCATTCCGCTAAATTCACTTGCTCCCTAACAAGTAATGGATCAACAGCGGGTCTAGCGCAAAGAACTTCGAATAGAACTACCCCAAACGAATAAACATCGGATTTATCCGTGAGCTGTTGTCTCCTGAAGTATTCAGGATCAAGATACCCGAAGCTTCCTTTTACGCCCGTGCTCACATGAGTCTCGTCAAGACAAGGACCAGATCTTGAGAGTCCAAAGTCTGCAACTTTGGCTTCATAGTCGTCATCTAGTAAGATATTGGTGGATTTTATATCCCGGTGGATGATTCCTTGCGAAGAACCGGTGTGAAGGTAATGAAGGCCTCTTGCTGCACCAATGCAGACCTTGAGTCGTTGTTTCCAAGACAAAGGTGGGTTGGCGGATCCGTATAAGTGACTTTTGAGCGGTCCTTTATCCATGTACTCATAAACCAGAATCATTTCAGATTGTTCTTCACAATACCCAACAAGCGAAACAAGATGGCGATGACGGATCTTTGAGAGAATGGTTATCTCAGAGAGAAACTCTGGTAATCCCTGTCTTGAACCGGGCACGCCTCTCTTCACAGCTACTTTGGTGTTGTCTTTGAGAGACCCTTTAAAGACCATCCCAAATCCGCCCACTCCGATGATAAGACTTCTGTCGAAGTTATTAGTTCCGGATTGTATTTCCGCGAAAGAGATTCTCAAAGTTTGATATCCATTAGAACTAACAGTTCCTTCAGTTGTTCTACTGATTGAACTGCCTCTAAACCTCCTCAAAGGTGTCCACCCTATGCTCTCTGAACTCTTCGTTTTGGCATTGCGCCTGCATAAGCACAAACAACACAAGACGAGGAGAGATAACAACACCAAACCTCCCAATATCGATCCAACCAGGATCCAGATAACGTGTTTCTTCCTAGAACCCACATTGGAACTCACAGGATTCATAATCCTCATGATCTCCACTCCATTCAGTAAAGCATTAGCTCTCGACGGATTGCTGAGATCAGACGGTCCAACACTAATCCTCAACATTCCAGATTGATCAGATTCAGCAACAAAATCAATGTACAAAGGAGACGCAAGCACATGGAAAGTAAGCGCGGAGAGATCAACATCTCTAAACGCAAGATAATCGTTGATAAAGACATTGAAATAGAGCTGATTAAGCGACGTACTAACGATATCGCAGAAATGCAAACGAATCAAATGAAGAACTCGTTCCGATCCAACCGGAAAACCCCAGCTGATGTTAAACCTAGCCTGCAACTCCTGATTATCTCGATTCATCTCTTGTGCAGTCATATAAACATTATCAGGAGCAATCTCTCTAGTGGCACCACCTTTCTGATAATTGGGAGGATCAGTAGTCACTGCACGTTTCGCAGCACCTTTCAATAGAAGATAATCGTCATCAACGAACCAAGTCCTCCACAATGTATCGTTAAACGGAGTCAATTTCAAACCACCAACGTTGATTCTATGTACTGTCTCAAGTACTTGAGATGATAAGTTACTGAAGATTTGAGCAGAGTTAGGGATTACAAGCTTAGTTCCTTGATCAATTATGTAATCGTTAGGTGCAGAGAACACTTCAATCGCGTTAACAAAACCAAACCCAGATGATTTCGAAGGTACAAACGAAATCTCAAGAACAAGTTCATCGATTCTCAGTGTGAATTCCTTAACAACGACGGAATCAGTACCGAAACTGTTCATCACAGAGAACCCATTAACCAAAACGTGAAATTTCGCGGAGACTAAGTTAAAACCTGGAGCTTTAAAGGGAGCGAAATGGAGACGGATGAAATAAGTGTGTTTGCTTGTGACGCGGAGTTTATAGGCGGAGGAAGGAGATGATCCGCCGGGGAAGATACGGGCTGTGTGGTATAGTACCGGCGAATCCGGAGGTGGGTTTGGGTCGGAAAGAGAAACGGATCGATCGGCGGAGAGAAAGGTGGAGCCTTGCCGCGAGGAGTCGCCGAGAAAGGAGCGGATTGAGAAGAGAGACGCGTTGGTATTCGCGCCGCAATTAAGGAGGTAATTATCAGTTGGAGTGTAAGCAGC